ATTGGACTACTGAAGACTGGAAGAAGGTGTTATGGACCAATGAATCAAAATTTGAAAACTTTGGTTCATCACGCAGGATTTGTACACCATCAAATAGGTGAAAGGATGGCTCCACAGTGTGTGGCACCAACTGTCAGACATGGAGGAGGAAGTGTGATGGTCTGGGGCTGTTTTCCTGGATCCAGGGTCAGTGAGAAGCAAGATAATGACCCAAAACATAAGTCCAAGCTATGCCAGAACTACCTCAGGAAAAAAAGAACACGATGGTGTTTTAAAACATTTTACCTGTAGTGTACATGTATGCACTTATGTATGAACATCTGAGAGCAAGTGTTATCTGCATTCTGATCTTTTTTTTTTTTAAGTCAAAGCAAAATCTTCCACATCACTGACTTTGCTTGTTTGTTCATTATGATTTAGCTCCCATCAATTATGAACCCTTTGAGTTTGTCTGAGCATCAAAGGGACATGAAGCCTTCTTTATTTATTTACATCCTTGCTTGTCTTAGTATTCATGGGGAAAACGTTCCTACTTAAAGGTGTGCTTGTACTGTATAACACTGGCTGCCAGAGAACAACCGCAAACATCAACCAGGCTTTTAATTAGTTAAACCTCACTATGACCCTCTTGGATATTCTTTTCCCGTCAGAACTGCTTTAATTCCTCATGTCAGAGATTTAACAAGGTGCTGGGAACATCCCTCAGAGATTCTGGTCACATATTAGCATGATAGCATCACATAGCTGCTGCAGATTTGTCATCAGTTTGAGGTTATCTGAGCTTTGTGACATGGCCCGCTATCTTTCTGGAAGAAACCATTAGCAGATGATTACACTGCGGTCATGAAGGATGGCCATGGTCAACAGCAATACTGAGGTTGGCTATTGCATTTAAATGATGCTCAGTTGGTACTAAAGGGCTCAGAGTGTGCCAAAACACATGCCCCACAGCATTATAACACCAGCAACAGCCCGAACTGTTGATACAAAACAGAATGGATCCATGTGGTCATGTTGTTTAAACTAAATTCTGACTCTATTCTGTCACAGCAGTGACTCATGAGACCAACATTTTACTAATCTTCTGTTCTCCAGTTATAGCCTCAGATTCTTGATCTTTGCTGGTGCCCAGTGTTATCTTCAGTGGCTGGAGCCCATCTGCTTCAAGGTTTAATGTATTATGCTTTAAGAGATGCTCTCATACATACCTTGGGTGCACTGAGTCTTTATTTGAATTACTGCTGCTTTCTATCACCTCAAAGTCTGGCCATTATCCTCTGGTTTCTGGTATTACCAAAGGTTTTCACCTAGAAAACTGCTGATCAGACCATTCTCTGTAAACCCTAGAGATGGTTGTGTTCAAAAACTGAACTTCTGCAGTTTGTCCTCAACATGTCTACATACTTTAATGCATTGAGCTTCTGCCATGTGGCTGTCTGAGTAGATATTTGCATTAGTAACCAGTTGAATAAATGCACCTAAGGGTGTCCTAGGTGACTAATGCATGTATATCTAAAGCCCAGTATGTTTGTTCTTCTTAACCACAGAGGTCCACTGTTACCCAGAATGAATCCCAATGCTAACCCTGACCCACAATCACTAAGTGACAGTTTCTCAGTACATCACAGTAAATGACTTAACTTCACAAACCAAGTATATAACATAATTCATTAAGTGTGTGATGTTGGAAAACATTTTCTGTCCTTTACAAAATAATATGTTGTTTCATGCACTTTCCATGTTTTATATATTTAAATATATAAGATGCTAATTAGATGCTAATTTGATGCTAATTAGCATCAAAAAGCAGGGAAGCTGAAAAGAGGATGGATGGATGCAAATCCTGTGAGAATGCATATGAGAGGTTTTCATCATCCAGTTATTGTATTACTTGCTTTTACTTGTCTTGTGTTTGTTTGTATAGACAGTCATTTTCTGTCTTGGGTTTATTTTCTTGTCTTCTTCTATTATATCTACTTCCAGCTACCTGCCAGCTCCTCCAGTGGCTTTTACTCTTTGTCCTCTTTTACCTATCTCTGTTTCTTCCACTGCCACTTTATTCTGACCTAGATTGTTGAGAGAAAAAGCGAGTCACTGTTGGGCTGATCGGAGGTCAGCTGTGCCATTAAGGCTTTTATGAGGTGCAGAAACTCTGGTCTGCTGTAACTGACACCGCTCTGGCCTGTTCCCCTTGGGTGCTGTGGGTCAGTTTGCCTCCATGAACTTCCATTACCGCGTAACATCTGAGTCATTATATGATGGAAATATTAGTGCTGAGTAAGGGGACTTGAGAGAGCTGCATTTAATGAACGATTGCACAACAGATGAACACAGAACAATGGCAGCTCATAATGCCCTCATGTGGTCTGAAAAATAAAGGGTACAATTCTAGATGAAACCTTTTCTCAAAGGGCAAGAGAGTCATTTCTGATTATTATAGTGACCAAAGATTTCATATCATGTCATATGAAGTTTGGCCACATCCCTTAAAATGTCTGAAAACCAGTGATGGAAATAACGGCGTTACAAGTAACGGCGTTACTAACGGCGTTACTTTTTCCAGTAATGAGTAATCTAGCTAATTACTATTTCTATCGTTACAACGCCGTTTCCGTCACTAACAACAAAATGCGGTGCGGCCGCGTTACTATTTTTCAACAAACA